AGACAGGGTCTCCCTGTAGCCCCAGCTGTCCTGGAACTCACTATGTAGACCAGGCTGGCCTTGAACTCACAGAGCTCCACCTGCCTCTGCCTCCTGAGTACTGGAATTAAAGGTGTGTGCCACCATGCCTGGTCTGTTTTTATTTTATGTATATTGACCTCAAGTATGTAAATTCACCTGTGCAATGCCCGTGGAGGTCAAAGGAAGGTGTTGAATCCTCTGGAACTGGAGTTACAGATAGTTGTTAGCTGCCATGTGGGTGCTGGGACTCGAACCCAGGTCCTCTGCAAGAGCAGCCAGTACTCTTAACCACTGAGCCTTCTCTCCAGCCTCTCATCAACTTTTTGTGCTAATCCATGTTGGAAGTATAACTGAACAGTTGATGGGGTGAAAGGGGCTGCTGTGAATACTTTATAGGCTCTGTTTAAACTTTAGTTTTCAGAAGGCACTTTGTGGAAGTGCTGTGGACCACTGAGACTGGCTTGCCATCTGACCTGGAGGGTTGTACTTGGTGCCACCAGTATTCACCGTACTTCTCTCTCTTTTTCTGATGTCTTCTCTATGTAGCTCTGGCTTGCTTTAGCGAGGCTGGAGACTTATGAAAATGCTCGTAAGGTCTTAAATAAAGCACGTGAGAACATTCCTACAGACCGGCACATCTGGATCACAGCTGCCAAGCTTGAGGAGGCAAATGGAAACACACAGATGGTGGAGAAGATCATTGACCGAGCCATCACCTCCCTGCGGGCCAATGGTGTGGAGATCAATCGGGAACAGTGGATCCAGGTAAGCTGTTGCCGAGTGTCCTTCCTACACTACAAGTAGAGGTGGCTAGGCCTGGTGACATACTTGTAATACCAGCACTTAGGAAGCCAAGCAGGAAGATTGCAAGTTTAAGGCTAGGCTGGGCTACATAAAGCAAGACTGTCTCAAATGACTGAGTGAATGCATCAGACGTGTTTTATATGTTAGGGTCTCACATAAGGTGTAGGATGGCACTAGAGAGTTCTCAAACTGTCAGAAGAAACAGGCACATTATGTCTTTACTTGCTGTTGTTGATGGACTTAATACCTTGAGCAGTCTTCAATGATCTCTTATGAGGAATCTTATGCTTATGACTAGCATTTTTCTGTGGCCTCCTGTGTCCAGCTCCTCATGTCTTTTGTCTGGTAAGCTATGTTGCCATTTCTGTTCTCTGTTGATTCTGTGTTCCAGTTTTTTTTTTTTTTGTTTATATTTTTTTCTTTGAGACAGGGTCTTACTATGTAGCCCTGGCTAGCCTGGAACTAACTTTATAGACTAAGCTGGCCTCAAACTCACATCCACCTGCCTTTGCCTCTTGAATGCTGGGATTAAAGATGTGTGTCGCCGTGCCCACATGTTCTAGGTTTCCAATACCTGTGATTTTCCTTCTACCTTCAGGACTTTCTATAACAGTTCTTATAGTGCGGGCCTACTGACATTTTTAGTTTTTTTCTGTGTCTAGAAAAATCTTTATTTCACTGGGCATGGTGGCTTAGGAAGCAAGATTGACTGGTTGAGGCCAACCTGCTCTACATAGTGACTTCCAGGCTAGCTTGGGTTACATAGTGAGACTCTTGTCCTGATTTTATTTTTTTAATTTTTAAATTTTTTAATTTTTTTTTTTGCTTTATTATTTTATGTGTATGCATGTATTGCATGCATGTATGCAGGTGCACCCTTGTTCAATGCCCATGGAGGTCGGATCCCCTAGAACTGGAGTAATGGACAGCTGTTAGCTGCCATGTGGGTGTTGGGAACCGAACCTGGGTCTTCTCAAGAGCAGCCAGTGCTCTTAACTGCTGAGCCGCCTCTCCAGCCTGACCCTGACTTTATTTTTTTATTTTTTTTTAATTCACCTGTTTTTTTTCTTTCTTTTTTAAAAAAACATTTTTCTGTTTGGTGTGTGTACTTGTGTATTCACTTGCCATTCTGTGTTTGGATGTCAGAAGTGACTGTCCTTGGGTGTCAGTTACCACCTTCTACCTTGTTTAAGGAAGGGTCTTTTATTGTTTGCTGCTCCACTGTGTAGTCTAGGTCAGATGGCCTGTGTGGGATTCTTCCCTCTTACCTTCCATCTTGATGTAGAAGTGCTGAGATTTACAGGTACTTGTCACCTCATCTGACTTACATGGTTCCTATGATCCAAACTCAGGTCATCAGGCTTGCTCGGCAAGAGCTTTTACCCACTGATCCGTGACCGTTTACCTTTGTTTTTAAAGATGTGTTTGTTCCTAGGTTAATACTTTTTTCTTCTTGTACTTCAAACACATACGCACTGCTTGCTGCCTTTTCACATCTGTATTACTCTGTCTGTAATGTGTTCTCTTTTTAAAAGTTCAGGGAAAGGTCTTGCTCTGTAGCCCTACCTGGCCTTGAACACTCAGGCTTCCTGCCTCAGCTTCCCAAGTGCTAAGATTGTAAATATAGTACCATACTCAGCAGTTGTTAAGGTTTTTTTTCATTATTGGTTTTTGTGATATGTCTAGTTTCTTGTGCTTGGAGTCCATTAAGCTTCTTTTTGGTGTGTGTGTGTTGGGGGGTATTTATGCATGTGGTGGGGAGGGTGCATGCATGGAAACCAGAGGAAGACATTGGATGTCCTGCTCTGCTACTCTCTACTTTATTCCTGTGAGACATGGTTGCTTACTAACCTTGAGGTTAAACTGGTTAGAGTTCTTTTTTTATTACATTGTATGCATATGCCATGGTGCATATGTAAAGATTAAAGAGCAACTTGTGGGAGTTGATTCTCTGCTTTTACCATGTAGGTTCTGAGGATCAAACTCAGGTTGTCAGGCTTGGGCAGCATGCAACTTCACCTTCTGAGCCATCTTGCTAGCCCTAGAGCTTAATTTTTGATTGTTTATTAATTTGTAATTACATTATAGGGCTGGGAATATAGCCTAGTGTTATAGTGCTTGCCTGTCATGTATAAGGGCCCCGAGTTCAACCTCTAGTACTACACAAAAAATTCTATAAAATTCATTTTTGTGTGTGTGTTTGATGTTGGGAATGATCCTAGGGCCTTGTGTGTTAAATAAGCACTCTTCCACTATACTCTATCCCCTAGCCCCCCACTCCACTTTTTTTTGGTCTTTTTGAGACAGGGTCTCTCTGTAGTGACAGCTGGCCTGGATTCATTATGGTGACCAAGCTGGCCTTGAACTCATAGAGATCTGCCTGCTTCTGCTTCCCAAGTGCTGGGATTAAAGGTGTATGCCACCATACCCAGCTCCTATCCCTTAAAAAAAAAATTATTTTTATTTTATGTGTATGAGTGTATTGTCTGCATGTGTATTAATAAGTATACCTGTGTTGTGCAATGACAGCAGAAGTCAGAAGTTCTGGGATTCCCCTGGAACTGAAAGATGGTTGTTAGCCACAATATGGGTGCTGTGAATCAAACCTGGGTCCTCTGCAGGAACAGCCAGTGCTCTTAATCACTGAGCCATCTCTCCAGTCCCAGATATCCCTTAGTCCTTTTAAAATTTATTTTGAAGCAAAGTTTTACTAAATTTTTCAGGCTGGGCCTTGAACTCAAGATCTTTGTGCCTCATCTTCCTGAGTACCTGAGTTTTCAGGCTTTCGTAATGAGGCCTTTCAAACTCCACTCTTCTGAACCATACAGTTGAGTTACATGGCCTCACTGTAGTCTTAGAACACTCTTACCACGCTATAAAGAAATTCTGTATCTAATAGCTGTCACTTTCCTTTCCTCAACCTCTAAGTAATCCCTTTTTCCCCCACCATGGATTTCCTTTTCTATTTTACCTTCATGCTTTTTTAGAAATTTTATACCAAGGTAATCATAACATATATGGTTTTTTGTGATTTTTTTTTTTTTTTTTTTTTTTTTTTTTTTTTTTTAAAAGTAATATAAAACCAAATGTTTGTTTTGGATTTTTTTTTTTTTTTTTTTTTTTTTGTCTTTTTTGATACAGGGTCTCCTTGTAGCCCCAACTGTTTTGGAACTCACTATGTAGACCAGGCTGGCCTCTAACTCACAAAGATTCGCCCACCTCTGCTGCCCAAGTGCTGGGATTAAAGGCGTTTGCCACCACGCCTAGTCCTTATTTAGTATTTTAATACTTGTCTATCACTGTATTTGTTGAAATCTTTTTTTTTTTTTTTTTTGGTCTTTTTGAGACAGGGTCTCCCTGTAGCCCCAGCTGACCTTAAACTCACAGAGATCCACCAGCCTCTGCCTCCCACATGCTGGGATTAAAGGTATAGATCACCACGCCTGGCTTTATTTGTTGAAATTTTTTTTTTTTAGTCTTTTTGAGACAGGGTCTCCCTGTAGCCCCAGCTGTCTTGGAACTCACTATGTAGACCAAGCTGGCCTTGAGCTCAGAGATCTGCCTGTCTCTGCCTCCTGAGTGCTGGGATTAAAGGCCTGCACCACCATGCCATGCCTCTTTTAAACTTTAAAAAAAAAAATTTATTATTTTTATTTTATGTGTATGCGTGTATTACCTGCATGTAGGTAAGTACACCTGTGTCTTGCAGTGCCCTCGGAGGTCAGAAGAGGCTGTCAAATCCCCTGGGACTGGAGTTATAGACAGTTGTTAGCTGCCATGTGGGTGCTGGCATTTGAACCCAGGTCTTCTGCAAAAACAACCAGTGTTCTTAACTGCTGAGCCATCCCTCCAGTCCCTCTTTTAGCTTTTATATTTGATCATAAATATTGAAGTTGTATTTGTGATTTTCTTTTTGGGGGGAGTCTATTTGAGACAGGGTCTCCTGTAGCCCCAGCTGTCCTGGAACTCGCTATGTAGACCAAGCTGGCCTTGAGACTCACAGAGATCTGCCTGCGTCTGCCTCCCGAGTGCTGGGACTAAAGGCGTGCACTACCATGCCTGGCTGAAGTTGTATTTGTGAACTCTCAGTTCTGTCCCGTTGGGCTGTGTGCCTCTTTGGGAAGTACGAGCCCTGTATTCATTTATTTATTTATTCATTCACTCATTCATTGTGTGGACTCATATATGGTGTATGCAGATGTGTGGGCTCATGTGGACCCAGAGGTTGACATTGTTGTTCACCTAATCTCAGAGAGGGTCTTTCACTGAATCTGGCTGGAGCTTGCCATTTTGGCTAGACTAGTTGACCAGTGAGCCCCTAGGATCTGCCTCTATCTCCCTCCCAGCTGTGGGGTTACAGATGAGTGCTGTCACACCCAACTTTTTATGAGGCTGCTGCGGGTCCAAACCCAGGTCCTCAAGTTCATTCAGCAAGCACTTTACCCACTGAGTCATTTCTCTATCCCTTCTTTTTCCCTTTTTTCTTGAAAGTTCTTGCCACGGATTCTAGATTGACCTTGAACTCTTGATCCTCCTGCCTCTACCTTCCAACTGCTAGGATTTTAGTTGTATACCACACACCTGGCTCTTTTACTTTAAAAAAAAAAAAAAAAAAAAAAAAGTTAATTTATTTTTATTTCATGTGTATGTGTACAAAGCCCATATTGGCCAGAAGAGGGTGTCTGATCCCCTAGAACTGGAGTTAGAGCTTGTTATTAGCTGCCATGTGGGTGCTGGGAATTGAACCTGGGTTCTCTGCAAGAACAGCTAGTGCTCTTAACTGCTGAGCCATCTCTCCAGCTCCCCATCCTTTTGTATTTTTCTTTTTCTTTTTTTTCCTGGTCTTTTTGGGACAGGGTCTCCCTGTAGGCCCAGCTGGCCTGGAACTTGCTATATAGACCAGACTGGCCTTGAACTCACAGAGATCTGCCTGCCTCTGCCTCCCGAGTGCTGGTATTAAAACGTGCGCCACCACACCCTGCTTGTATTTTTCATTTTGAGACAGTCTTACAAAATTTTCCAAGTTGAGGAACCTTGGACTTCTAAGAGTTGGACTTCCAAGAGTCCAACCTTGAGGTTAGAATTTTCTTACCTCAACCTCCCAGGTAGCTAGATTTACAAACATGTACAACCAGAGCTCAGTTTATTTTTTATACTTTAAAAAAATTTTTTTTAAAATTTTGGTTTTTTGACACAGTCTTCCTGCTACTTTTTGTGCTATTGTATTTTTAGTAGGTTTCTTAGGATTTTCTTCATGCAAAAGTATGTTATTTGCAAAAATAGCTTTGTCTCTTTTTATTTATTTATTTATTTATTTATTTATTTATTTATTTATTTTGGTCTTTTTGAGACAGGGCCTCCTAGTAGCCCCAGCTGGCCTGGAACTCACTATGTAGACCAGGTTGGGCTTGAACTCACAGAGATCTGCCTACCTCTGCCTCCCAAGTGCTGGGATTAAAGGCATGTACCACCACACCTGGCTCTATTAAAGAGACTTTAATGTATGCTTAAGCATGAGGATTAAGAGAAAAAGAGGTACTTAGAAGAAAGATATACCCAAATGTAAGTAGAGGCTCCTCAAAGAAGAGGCACCAAGAGTTAGTATTTCTTGATTATTTAAGGTGTCCTATAGTATAATGTCTGTACACTACCTCTGTTTTTTGTTTTGTGTTTTGGTCATTTTGAAGCAGAGTCTCAAAAAATACAGTGCTGAGATTAAAGGTATGTGCCACCACACCCAGCACACACTACCTCTTACTCTTTGGTTTTCTTGTCTTGCTGGTCTTTCCTCTGTCCCCTTTGCTAGTTTTCCTTTTCTAAATTCCTAAATAAATGCTGGCAGGTTAGACCTTAGCCCTTTTCCTAGACTTTTCTTTGATTGCCCATTGATTAGAATATTATTTAGGTGTGAGGAGCCCTGGGCTCTTCCCACAGCCTTGAACGTATGCCTGCTGCTCTGCTCTCTGGCACATACTGTGGCACTGCTACCTGGTGTCTCCAAAACACCCATGAAACTGCCTTGTCCCTCAGTCCTGTATTTGGGCAACACCCCGTTCATTCTTTAGGAGTCATTGCTCCTAAAGGATTTTTCTTTTTCTTTTTAATATTTTAATTATTTTATGTGTACGAGTGTATTGCCTGCATGTATGTGAGTGTATCATCCGTGTCGTGCAGTGCCATGGAGGTCAGAAGATGGCTTTGGATTCCCCTGGAACTGGAGTTAAGGACGGTTCATAGACGCCATATGGGTGCTGGGAATCAAACCTGGGTCCTCTGTAAGAGCAGTCAGTGCTCTTAACCACTGAGCCAACTCTCCAGCCCCTCCTAAAGGATTTTTCATATCCAGTCCACAGAGGGATTAGATCTACCTTCACACACACACTCCAGGTCCAGTTGGACATATTCTAGGTGACTGTTGCTTTCTTGGGCAGATCACCCATCCCTACCCAGCATACAATAGTACCTCTTGATGTTTCCTTAGTCTCAGCATGCCCGATTAAAACCCCCAGATGCTTCTTGTCATCTGGAATAGACACCTATGCCCATACTATGGATTATAGGCCCAGTGGGTCAGGGCTTGGGGTCCTCACCCTATTGCTGCCCTTTTCAAGGTGCACTTACATGTCTCCACTTCAGATCTCTGCCCTTGTTTCTGCTCTCAGATGCTTTTCTGATGCCCACAGGGCCCTAAGGGCTTCAGAGAGGGATGGATTTCCTATCCTGCCTTGCTTGTTCATTTCATATCCTGTCTTAATCATCATGCATCATCATTGTGTGTCGTCCCCCCCCCCCCCAGGGCAGTTTTGCATACATGAGAATATAATTGTAAGATAAATTCCATAAGGTGGAATTGCTGGGTCAAATGTGTACATGCAGTATTTTGATGGAGGATATGAAGTTGTCCTCTATAGAGGTCATCAGTGTGTAATCCTTCCTCAGCAGTGAAAGATCCATGCCATCCTTTTCTGAGCAAGTGAGTCAGAACACTTTCTGTTGCTGATCTTACAATGGCACTAAAAGTAATTTATCATTCTTAGAGATAATAATGGTTTAGAGGGGCTGGAGAGACGGCTCAGCAATTAAGAACACTGGCTGCTTGTGCAGAGAACCCAGGTTTGGTTCCCAGTACCCACATGGAACAATGTGGGCTTACAACAATCTGTAACTCCAGGTCCAGGGATCCAGCATCCTTTTCTGGCCTCCTTGAACACCAGGCACACATGTAGTACACTTATGTACATGTAGGCAAAACCCTGATATATAAGAAATAGATAAAAAACCAAATCCACTATGGTTTAGAGTTTCTTTTCAGGTGTTTAAATTTCTTATATTTGGTTTCTGGTAAACTGTATATCTTCATATCCTTTGCAACATTTGTCTACTGGGTCATTGTTTTATTGTTTTTTTTCCTAATTGATGTGCAAGATACTTAGTTTAGGGCTAAAGAGATGGCTCAATGGTTAAGAGCATGTGCTATTCCTCCAGTTCCTAGAGGACCTGAGTGTATCCGTTCCTAACACCCATATCAGGTGGTTCACAACTGCCTGTAACTCCAGCTCCAGGGGATCTAGCATCTCTTCTGGCCCCTACAGGCATCCACACATATACATACAAGTTTAAAATACTTTAAAAAATATTTTACTGTTCTACATTTTTGGTAACATAGTCTTGTGTCTCATGTTGTAGAACTTTGTGGCTTTTCTCCAAAAATCCCAAGTCTGCTTTCCTAAAATTGGGAGTGCTTTGCTGCTGGTGGCCTGCCTAGTGAACTGCCCTTTCAATTGGTTATCTGCCTCAGCCTTCCAGGTTTCTGTCTTACCTCCTGTGTAACCAGGCTCCCTACCAACAGTTCTTCCTGTCTGGGTCAGAGTGTCTCTTCTTTTTGTCTTTTTTTTTTTTTTGTCTTTTTGAGACAGGGTCTCCCTGTAGCCCCAGCTGACCTGGAACTTGCTACGTAGACCAGACTGGCCTCGAACTCACAGAGATCTACCTGCCTCTGCCTCCCAAGTGCTGGGATTAAAGGTGTGCGCCACCACGCCTGGCCTTTTTGTCATTTTTAACTTGGGAGTTCTAGCCCAAAGGATACAAACATTGTTTTTTTTTTTTTTTAATATTTATTATTTTTATTTTATGTGTATGAATATATTGCCTGCATTTGTGTAAGTGTGCACATGTTGTGCAATGCCCATTGAGGTCCGAAGAAGGCATCAGATCCCCTAGAACTGGAGTTACAGACAGTTGGTAGCCATCATGTGCTGGGAATCAAACCCGGGTCCTCTGTAAGAACAGTTAGTCATCTTAACTGCTGAGCCATATCTCCAGCCCCAGACACAAATATTTTCGAACTTGCTTTTTACTCATACTATTCTTAGAGCTTCTTTAGCATAGGAAATTCTTAAGCCGAGCATGGTGGCACATGCCTTTAATCCCAGCACTTGGGAGGCAGAGGGAGGTGGATCTCTGAATTCAAGGCCAGCCTGGTCTACATAGTGAGTTCCAGGCCAGCTGGGGCTACAGTCTCAAGAAAACAGAAAAAGAAAAGAAAAGAAAGACATTCTTATAGCCATGGAATGGCTTAGTATAACCTTTGTAATGCAGTAGGACCTTTCAGTTACTCAGTGTTTATTGAGTACTTACATGCTAGATGGTGAGGACGGGGCATCAGCGAACAGATCAGCCTGACAGATAATGGTGTTCAGGGTTGCCAGGCTACATGCCCAAGACCATAGATATCTTGGTTCTTACCATTCAGAAATAACATGCACTTTGCAGCCCTGACTTCAAAATTCAGAGTTTTTGTGTTTCTCTTTCAGGATGCTGAGGAGTGTGACAGGGCAGGGAGTGTGGCCACGTGCCAGGCTGTCATGCGTGCTGTGATTGGTATCGGGATTGAAGAGGAAGATCGGAAACATACCTGGATGGAAGATGCAGATAGTGTGAGTTTGCCTGCTTGTTCCTTGCCTAGAGTCTCTGTCAGGAACAGTGGCCCCTTCCATGAGTAGGCTAATTACAAATCTTTTCCTCACTCACCTTCTGTTCTCCCCTGCTTAAAAATCTTTCTGATACACATATTTTATTTATTTTTAATTTTTATTTATTATTTTTTAAATTTTTATTACTTTTTTATTTTGTGTATATGTGTATTGCCTGCATGTAGGTAAGTGCACCTGTGTAGTGCAATGCCTGTGGAGGTCAGAAGAGGCTGTCAGATCCCCTGGAACTGGAGTTACGGACAGTTGTTAGCTGCCATGTGGGTGCTGGGATTTGAACCCAGGTCTTCTGCAAGAACAACCAGTGTTCTTAACCGCTAAGCTATCTCTCCAGCCCTATTATTTTTATTTTATGTGTATGCGTGTATTGCCTGCATTGTAGGTAAGTGCACCTGTGTCGTGCAGTGCTCTCAGAGGACAGAAGAGGCTGTCAGATCCCCTGGAACTGTAGTTATGGACAGTTAGCTGCCATGTGGATGCTGGGATTTGAACCTGGGTCTTTTGGAAGAACAGTCAGTGTTGTTAACCACGGAGCCATCTCTCCAGCCCCCATATTTTATTTTTACTTCTATTTGTTTTTGAGACAGAGTTTCACTTTATGGTCTAGGCTTATCTTAGACTGGAGATCCTCCTGCCTCAGCCCCCTTAGTACTGGGATTACAGGAACATGCACCACTCCTGGCTCTGATACACTTTGATGCTATTTTAAATGGAGTTGTAGTCTTAAGGATAGCAGACTTCTATGAATCTGAGTTTAAATTTATTTCGAGTGCTTACTAAATGGAGGAAGCAGCTGTTATAATGGTGGGCCTGCTGGAGCTCTGTGTAGCTAGCCTACAACTTTTTTTTTTGTCTTTTTGAGGCAGGGTCTCCCTGTAGTCCCAGCTAGCCTGGAACTTACTATGTAGACCAGGCTGGCCTTGAACTCTTAGAGATCTGCCTGCTTCTGCCACTGCCTCCTGAGTGTTGGGATTAAAGATGTGCCACCATGACTGGTGCCTACAACTTTTTTAGGTAAGTGGCAGACAACTTCGATGGCATCAGGTTCCCTTCCACTTCTTGGTTCCCATGCAGTTAAGAACACTGGTTGTTCTTGCAGAAGACCCGGGTTTGAATCCCAGCACCCACATAGCAGCTAACAACTGCTATGTCCGTAACTCCAGTCCTGACAGCCTCCTCTGTCCTCCAGAGGCATTGCACGACACGGGTGGACTTACCTACATGCAGGCAATACACACATACACATAAAATAAACAAATAAATAAATAAATAAATAATAAAAACAAATTTATTTCAGAAAACATTTTGCATACAAGCTGCTGCTGCTGCTTTTGAGATTATTTCCTCAGAACAGGTTTCCAGGGGGAATACCATAGGGCCAAATTTATAAAAATTTATAAACATAAGTTTAAAGAACTAATACAGATGTTTGAAAGAAAACAGATTTATTGAGTATCTTGCAAGGAGGCAGCAGTCTGCAGCCTTCCTGTAGCCTCGCTTTATTATTACTATTATTATTGTGCTGTGCATGCATGCGTGATGTGTATGTATAAGTACACATGCTACAGTGTAGCACATGTGGAGGTCAGAAGACAACTTTGTAGTCAGATCCCAGGGATTGAACTCTGGCTTGGTAAGTTCCTTTATCATCTTGCCAGCCTTAATTTGATTTTCCACCCCCCAATTTTAGGATAGAACTCAGGGTCTTGAATATGCTAGGCAAATTACTGTTGGAACTATCTCCAGCCCTTTTTTTTTTTTTTTTGTCTTTCTGAGACAGGGTCTCCCTGTAGCCCCAGCTGGCCTAGATTTGCTGTGGAGACCAGGCTTGAACTGATGGAGAGCCACCTGCTTCTGCCTCTGAGTGCTAGGAATAAAGGCATGCACCATCACACCTGGCTTCCATACCTTTTAAAAATTTTTTCATCTATTTTATGTGCATCTGTGTTTTGCCTGCATGTATGTAAGTACACCTGTGTCACACGTTGCCCAAGGTGGCCAGAAGGGGGCGTCGGATCATGGAACCGGAGTTAAAGATAGTTATTAGCTGCCATGTGGGTGCTGAGAACCAAACCACTGAGCCATCTTTCTAGCCCTTTTCTTTTTTTTCTTTTTTCTTTTTTTTTTTTTTTTTGGTCTTTTGAGACAGGGTCTCCCTGTAGCCCCAGCTGGCCTAGAACTCACTTTGTAGACCAGGCTGGCCTCCTTGAGCTTACAGAGATCTGCCTCCCAAGTGCTGGGATTAAAGCCATGTTCCACATGCCTGTTCCAGCCCTTTCTTTTCATTAAATTTATTATTATTATTTTTATTATTATTTAGATTGAATCTCACTATACAGCCTTGACTGACTTGGCACTGTGTAGACCTGGCTGGCCTGAAACTGTGAGATTAAAAACCTATGTCGCCGGGCGTGGTGGCACACTCTTTTAATCCCAGCACTCGGGAGGCAGAGGCAGGCAGATCTCTTGAGTTCAAGGTCAGCCTGGTCTACTTAGTGAGTTCCAGGATTAAACAACAACAAAAAAGCCTGTATTCTATTCAGAAGCTGCCTCGGATCATGTTCTCAGGTCAATTTGGGATAGGACCTCAATAGGGCTTCAGGCTGTCTTTGTGTTTAAGGAATCTGGTTGGTTGGTTGGTTGATTGATTGATTGATTGATTGATTGATTGATTGATGATTGATTGATTGACTGACTGATTGACTGATTGATTGATTTTGGTGTTGGAGATGGAACCCAGGGCCTGAGCATGTTGGGCAAGTAGAGACCAGTAAGCTGTATCTCCCACCCAAGTCTGAATTTTTGAGTACTCTATTTTCACAGAATCCCTTTTGACCTGCCTCTCTGTGATGTTTGCTTGTGGCTTGGTTGAAGTTGTTCTTTGGAAGGGTAGAATGTCAGGTCTTTATACAGAGGTATATGTACCTGTTCACACTGACTAGCTGTCACAGGTGGAAGCTGCTGTTGACTCTCCTCTGTTTAGCTACTGTTTCATTTGTGATTAGTAAACATTCATGAGGAGGCAGTTTGAAATTATGTAAGTATCCAATTATCTTCAAACATTGACTCACTAGTTTGAGAATCTATTAATAATAGTGGTTGCAAAAAAAGACAAAAAAAAAGAAAATGCCAGGCGTGGTGGTGCATGCCTTTAATCCCAGCACTTGGGAGGCAGAGGCAGGCGGATCTTTGTGAGTTCAAGGCCAGCCTGGTCTACATAGTGAGTTCCAGGACAGCTGGGGCTACAAGGAGACCCTGTCTCAAAAAAGACAAATAATAATAATAATAGTTGGTTTTTGTTGTTCTTGTTTGTTTATCCTTCCTTCCTGTGTGTTTCTTTTTCTTTTTTTGATAGGGTCTCACTATGTAGCACAGGCTGGCCTCAAACTTGCATCAGTGCTGCCTTAGTCTCCCAAGTGCTGGATTTACAGGCAAGAGCCACGGTGCCCAGGTCATGAATGATGTTTTTGACTGAAATAATTATTTCTGTGGTATTTGCCAAGGGGTGATTTTCTGTTTCTGTTTGGTTATAGCTTTCATTTTGAGACAAGGTCTCATGTATTCCAAGCTGGCCTTAAACTCCTTGTGTAGCTGAGGATGACCTTGGACTTTTGATCTTTTGCCTTCACTTCCCAAGTGCTAGCATTATAGACATGCACCAACATGCCTGGTGTATGCAGTGCTGGATATTGAATCCAGGACCTGGTGAATGTCAGGCAAGTATTCTACCTTTGGAGCTACATCCCTAGGCTTTGGTTTTGGGTTTTTGAGACAAGGTCTTTCTATGTAGCCCAGGTTGGTCTTGAACTTGGGATCTTTTTGCCTCAGCCTCCTGCTCAGGTCAAGTAGTAATTTTTTTTTTTTTTTTGGTCTTTTTGAAACAGGGTCTTTCCCTGTAGCCCCAGCTTTCCTGGAACTCACTATGTAGACAATTTCTGTATCACTGTGCCACACTCCTGTCCCTTAAATAACATTTTCTCTACATTTTATGGGTTGAAATGCCACAGTAATGGAGAGCATTCCTATTCTTCATCAGTGTGTGTTCACTTCTTCACGTCTGGAGAAACTAGTGATTCATCTTTTAGTTGTGGTGTCCCTTGAGGCCAGTGTGTTAAGTCCTTGTGGCACAGAACTTAGGTGCTGGCTCTACAGCCTGTGGATGGTCTTATGTGTACTAATGCAAGTTTTACTCCTTGAGTGAGTCCAGAGGTAGGCCAAAAAGGTTTTACCATATTAGGGCCGGAGGTGTGGCTCAGTAGTAGAGCACATGTCTAACACGCACAAGGCTTTGGGTTCAACTCCCCAGTACCAAATATATCCATACATTTAGAGAGACCAACAACCTAGTCTGTGTATTGAATGAAAATTCTCTCCTATGTAAAAGAACCTAACACTTGGTTGTGGAAACTTCTTTATTCTAAACACAAAATCACATGGTTTGCACCTCTCCCCTTTATTGCTTTTGACAAATACGGAAGCCTTACTGGACACCACTCTGCATGGAAAACAAGTGTGAGAGCAAAAGTCCAAGAATGTTTTAGATTGTTCATTCTTCTTTTCTTTCCTCTTGCTTGCTTGATGTAGCCTGGAACCTTGAACTCAACAATCCTGTTACCTCTGCCTCTTTAGTGCTGGGATTGCAGGCATGTGCCATCATGCCCAGCTTTTCTCATTTTCATTGTCACTTAACCACATTTGCTCAGTAACTACAATTTTCCTTGTCATGCCGAAGTGAGAAGTAATGTTTCTGGGGCTGCCCAGAAGTATGGGGTGCTCTCCTAGTACGTGTCCTCACTGTGGACCTGGCCTGCCCTGGGCACTATTACTTGATGCTGCAGGCAGTTGAGGCAATGGAGAGACTAAAATCTTTGCAGCTGATCCCCATTGCTTTGATCAGCAGCTACACAAAAGAGCATAGACTGTGTTTACCTGTCTGTATACTCTATGGATACATCTGGTCAGGGCACAGCAGCAGGGCCCTTGGCTTCTCTGGTGGTTAAGAGTCAGGTCATGTGATATAGGAGACATTGGGTTTGAGAAAGATCTTGACACACTCCTGTTCCTTATTCTCTTCCACACCTGTTTCTGCACACATTGACAGTATCTGACCATCTGAGAAGGAGTCTTGGATAGCCAGGTACCGTCTCTGTGGCATGAACACAACTGTGAATACAGCTCCACTCAGGGTATTTGGACATTCACGATTGTAATAGTTTGTCCCTGTTTCTCCCTAGTGGCGTCTAATTTACCTCCAGATACACACCCCTTCTTGGTACAAGAATACCTATAATGTCTGCAGACTATAGAAAGCAGTGATTTTCCCCGAGAGGGAGCCTTTAGTCTTTGAGCCTGAGTACAGTTGTCTGAGCTTGTTCTGTATGTTGTTGGGTGTCATGGTCACCATGAAGATCAGTTAAACTAGTTCTTGGATGCTGTCATGCATATGATATCTGGCTTTGCCATTTGATATTACCCATCATTAAAATTTTTTTAAATATTATTTAGTGTGTGTGTATGTGTACTTGTACATGTATGTATACACATGCCATAGCATGTATGTGGAAGTCAGAGGTCAACTGTGAGAGTTGGTTCTCTCTACCATGTGGGTCCTGGAGATTGAATTCAGGTCATCAGGCTTGATGGTATCTTAACTTGCTGAGGCATCTCAGGTCCATTACCCATCACTTTTAATATCAATTTATATACATGGATTTTTTTTTCTGAGTTAGAAAAAAAAAGTTATGTCTGCATGTATCATGCACCATGTCATGCAACGCCTTCAGAAGCCAGAAGAGGGCGTAGGATCCCCTGGAACTGGAATTTGTTAACCACCATGTGGATGCTGGGATTTCAACCCTGGTCTTCTCTCTTCTGTAAGAGCAGCTCTTAATTGCTGAGTCATAACTCCAGCCCCATACATGGGATTTTTTAAAGATATATTTTTGTGTGTGTGCACATGTGTGCGTATGTGTGCATGAGTGTGCATATGCCTTGTTTGCAGATATCTATAGAGCCCAGAAGAGGGCATCAGATTCCCTAGAGTTGAAGTTAACTAGTGGGTTGAGCCTCCCAACCTGGGTGCTAGGAACTGAACTCAGGTTCTCTGGAGGAGCGCAAATTCTCTTAACTGCTGAGCCATTTCTCTAGCCCCTAAAATCACTTTTTTTTAGATAGGTTCTCCTGTTGCCCTAGTCCTTCTGGAACTCGTCTGTGTAGACCAGGCTAGCCTCTATCTCACAGAGATCTGCCTACCTCTGCCTCCCAAGTGCTGGGATTAAAGGTGTGAGCTACTGTGCCTGGAGTTAAAATCACTTTTGAGTAAAGGAAAAACCTGAAGGAGCCAGGCTTGCTGGAAAGCAACTACTCAGGAGGCTAAGGCAAGATTGCAGATTCAACTGGCTGTGGTGCCACATACCTTTAATCTCAGTGCTCAGGAGGCAGAATCAAGTGAACTCTGAGATCATGCCAGCCTGGAAGTTCCAGGCCAACTGGGGATACAGGGAGATCCTATCTCAAACAAAACAAAACAAGACAAAAAATAAAAACAAACATAAAAGCTTGCAAATTCAAGGCTAACCTGGGCAACTTTGGGAAACTCTTTCAAAATAACAAATAGAGCTGAGAGGGGCCTGGAGAGATGGCTCAGCTGTTATGAAGAAAGGGCTGAGAATGTAGCTCAATAGTAGATTGCATGCTTATTACACACAAGGCCCTGGCCTTGGATTCAGTGTCTAGTAATGGGAGATAGGGTGAGGGGATCTGAAGGAAGCAGAGCTATGGTGCACGCGTGCTGGGCACCCTGGCGTGGTGTGCACGGGCACGCCTGGGAGTCGCGGCGCGGGTCCAGTCCCCTGGTCTCAGCCACGCGCCCTGGAAGGAGGCGGTCTGGCCCCGCGGGCTTCTCCATGTCTCTGTGGGTCTCTGCTGCTGGAGTGTTGTCCAGCCGTGTACCGCCTTAATTTCCCCCCGTGCGCTTTCCTCTTGATGCGAGATCCACTGGCCACTGAATCATGCGGGAGAGCGCAAGACGGCTGAAGCTGGGATCCGTGAGCTGGTGACGGAGGAATGCTGCCCCCCCGGGGAGACTAGATTGCAGGCAGGAGACACAGACTCAGTCCAGTCAGGTTCAGTGCTACAGCTCTTTATTCCAAGTCTCAGTGACCCAGTTCCTGGTCTAGCTCCAGCTCCGCTTCTAGCTCCAAATTATTGAGAGAAGACTAGGATATTTATACCATGGGGGTAGTGGTAAAAGCTTTGGCTGATAGATACTTTGTGAGACATTTCTATTTGCATATGGAAGTGGGTTTCTGCCATGCTGCCAGACTGCTGACTACCTGAAAAATCACACAGGAAAGCATGGTATTCCTAGAGCCAGAGGCCATGTTTATGTTATGGCATTTGTGGCGGGCACTTCAAAAGGAGAGTCAGGAAAAATGCCAGGAAGGCACCCCGCTATGAAAGGAGTCTCAGCACATAACTCCGAGCTCATGAGCTATCCCGGATATGAAGAGACTTCTGCATCACATAACAGAGGCCCCCAACACAGAGCCTAGTGGTATATGCTATATTTCTGCAGGATTGGTGGGCTTCTCATCCTTTTTGTTTTGATTTGTCATATACAGGTTTTGAATGGGCTTAGCTTTTGAAAAAAATTTTTTATTTTTTTTGTGTGTGTGTGTTTGCCTGCATGTTTTGCACCTATGCGTTCAATACCTTCAGAGGCCAGAAGAGAGTATCATATCCTCAGGTAGTGGATGTTAGCCATTGTGTCAGTCCTAGAAGAGCAGCCAGTGTTCTTAGCCACTGAGCCATCTCTCTGGCCCCAGGCTTAACTTTTGTACACCTAGTTAAAAACCAGCATGTGTGATAGCTTCAGCCTGTGTCTATGTGCATATAAACAAACTTACCTTAACCACAGCCCTGTATGTGTGTATGTGTGAGTGCATACATGCACGTACCTCATTGTCCTGCAGATGATAACTGGTGCTCCTCTTACAGCTCTTGCAAGCCAAGAGGCTTGAAGACAGCCCCCTGGACTATTTGCAGTGTTTGTGTCCCCATCCTTAGATTATAGCTTATTAGATCAATGTCACAGCATACTTGGTACCACATGCCATTCCTGAGAATTTTAAGAGGATGGGAAATGTGTCAGCATTTGTCCCATGGCAGTGCTAGGCCACCTTTCCACACAGTGTCTCTCTGCTATAGTGTGTGGCCCACAATGCCCTGGAGTGTGCACGAGCTATCTACGCCTATGCCCTACAAGTCTTCCCCAGCAAGAAGAGTGTATGGCTACGAGCTGCATACTTTGAAAAGAACCATGGTACCAGGTATGTGGTTGGCCTCCAGTTCCTGCTTCTGTGGTACTGGATTTAAATCTTATTTTCCTGACAATCTGCAGCTGACATCATTTGGGGTCTGGCTCTCTGGTGATGGGCAGGTTGTGTTGAGGGTAGATGCTTTTAAGGGTTCTTGGGACTTTGCAACTCTATTGTTTATAACTCTTCTGTGATAGGATTATCACTATGTTTTAAAGATTTGCTTATTTTTATTTTAGTATATGAGTGTTCTGCCTGCGTGTGTATAAGTGCATCATGTACATAAGTGCATCACATATGTACATGCACCCCAGAGACCTGAAAAGAGGGTGTCAGGTTCTCTGGAACTGGAGTTACATACTGGGAACCAAACCCAGGTTCTCTGTAAGAGCAGCAAGTGCTCTTAATTGCCGAGCTGTCTCTACAACTCCAGATTATCACTATTTTATAGTTGAGAAACCAAGCCATCAAGAAGACCTGTCCTGCCCTAGTTCCTCATGGATCTCGGAGTACTCAAGTATAGGCTAGAGACTGGAGCTAGTACTGTTAGTGCCAGGGCACTGCCTTCAGCAGTGGGCGGTACAGTATCTACACCCATGTAAGCTGTTTTTCATTTGTTCTGGCTTTCTGGGTTTTGGCTGGTTTTTCTGCTCAGAAGGAGGTCCTTGACAGTTTTCTTTAATTGTAGTTTTTAATTGGAAAAACCTTTGGGTCTGCCTTATTGACTGTAAATGCTGATTAAATTAGGCATTTCAGTTTCTTGTTTTAAATGTGTAACTCTCCAGGGCATTGGGCTCATGTCCATGGACACCCTCCATTCATCCTCTTCTGGGTCCTCAGAAGAGCTCTTGGGTGGGAACAGACCTTGCCGGTTTCACCAAGGTTGCAGCTGGGACTTCAAGCCCTTGTTTCTTTTCTGGTATTATTTAACGTCTGTTTCTTGAGGGCCTCTTTCTACCCTGCCAGCTGGTTTGGTGTTTCAGAATTAACTCCTTAGGGAATTTGGGAACATTTTGAAATGATCCCGATAGCTCATTCTGTAGGTCACCTGGGACAGTTTAAGTGTTGAGCAGCATAAGTATTTTGTCCTGCTGGGTGTGGGATTAGCCCTTATGACCCATGGCCTACATGTGTATTGCTGTCCACTTGGTGTTTCAGTGGCTGGTGTCTCCCCCCACCCCCCATTCTACTTTATCTCGCTGCTGGCCCACGGACTGATGAGGGGAAGCATCAGCACTTCAGCCCAAGGCTTTGGGGAGCATAATGTTGTTCCTGCAAACATTTTCCATGTAGTGTGCTTTTGTGTGTTCCTTGGCTTGCTGCTGAGCACATGAGGTCCACGGGGGTCATCCTCGAAGATAGTGTGACCGAGAGGAAGAGATTTCATACCCACTACCCAAGGCTGGCAAGTATTCTTGCTCAGTAGTGACCTAAAATCACTTGCTTTAATAAGACCTTTATTTTGAATGTTAGGGACCTTAATCTTTATCAGTGAATCCAGGGTGTCCTCTGCTTCAAGATGAAAAGACCATTGCTGTCACCAGACTGCCCTGTTATTGATACCCCCAGGACATGTGGCTGTAAAAGGTTCTGCTGTTCAAACAATGGTTTGCTTTGTAGAAAGTCCTCTTCAGTAGTTGGTTTTAGATTCTTTATGGGGAGGAAAGATTTCCCCATAGTCTCCCCATCATAAAATCTGGTAAATCATTGATAGTGCTGAACTTTGGAGTGGTAACTGTCTCTTTAGCACCTATGTTGGTGGCTGTGTGCTCTGGTTTTATAGCCCTACCCCTGGTGACCATGGCCTTTGTCTTGCAGGGAGTCTCTGGAGGCACTCTTACAGAGGGCTGTGGCCCATTGCCCCAAGGCAGAGGTGCTGTGGCTCATGGGTGCCAAGTCCAAGTGGCTGGCAGGGGATGTGCCTGCAGCAAGGAGCATCTTGGCCCTGGCCTTCCAGGTGGGTTGAGAGATACTCTACTGGGAGGGCCATGAACACAAACTCAGCTTTGGTGCCACTGGGACCTCAGAGCTTGTCCTGTGCTTGTGCTTTGGGATGTGCCATTTTCTAGAGACACTAAACTCCTATGAGTGACCTTATCCATGTGGCCAAGGCAGGAAGAACACCCCAACTAAGAACATTGATTTCTTGGTCCCTTCCACTTAGTGTGACCACAGGTCAGATGTTCCAGAACATGAGGTTGCAATGTAGGCCACCTGAGTGTTCCAGTACCCTTGTGGGAATGGAACTCCTTTAAAATAGCTACATTTACCTGACCTAACTAGGCCTGGCTGTTATAACATCTGGAAGGGTGTGGGAGGGGCCTGTGCATATGTATGGTATGTGTACACAGTTGTGCTTACCTCTGTGTGTATTTGTGTGTGTGGAAGCTAGAGGTCAACCTAGAGTTTCTGCATATATCACTTTCCATTTTATTTTTTGAGATAAGGTCTCACTGAACCTGGAGTTCATCATTTTGGCTTAGTTGGATCCCAGTGAACCCTCGGGATGTGCCTGTGTCCACCTCCTAGCACTGGGGTTACAGATCTGCATTGCCATGCCTGATTTTTATGTAGATGCTGGGCATCCAAACTCAGGTCCTCTCTTGTTTGTCCACCAAACACTTTACCCACTGAGCCATCGCCCTAGCCCATGTGTAGTATTTAAAAAATACTTGATTTTTCTGCCAGGTGTGGTGGCTCACACCTTTAGTACCAGCACTCAAAAGGCAGAGGCAGGCGGATCTCTGTGAGTTCAAGGCCAGCCTGGTCTACATAGTGAGTTCCAGGCCAGTTGGGGCTACAGGGAGACCCTGTCTCAAAAAGACCAAAAAA